TTTGTATCCTTTATAAGATCCTTCACATAAATAGGTAACAATAAGTAAAGTGTTTTCCTGGATTCTGTGAGCCATGATAACAAGTTATCAAACCTGAGGAGGAGGCCGTGGAAACCCTCAGTTTATAGCCAAGTTGAACAAAAGTGTAGGTAACGTGGGAACCCACCACCTGTGTTGGAGGAGGACAGTCTTATGAGCCTAAGCCCTCAGCCTTGTGGTTCTGTGTAACTCTTAAGTGATTAGTATCAGAACTGAATTGATTTGTAGGAAACCCAGGTGGTGTCCACAGAGAATCAGAGCATTGTTCAGTTTAGAAACCCCACACATTTGGTGTCATAAGTGTTGTGAGTAGAGAAACAGCTTCTCTTTATACACGTGGAGCCCTGCCACATTTTATTTTATTTTCATTGCCAGTGCATCTCCATCATGTCAAAATAAGAAAAGAAAAGTGAACTTCAAATGTCAGGCTATTAAGACACTAAGAATTGTGGATTATTTTGCTTTCAATTTAGAAGACAAAGCACTATATTTATTACACAATGTAACTATAATTGTGCTAAGGGTACAACATGTGTTGACATTTCCAGACTAAGAGTTCATCACACTATTCCAAACTCACAGGGGAAAAAATGGTCAGGAAAATTAGAAGTTTTAAAGTGAAATATCTCATCACAACAGAATTTCTTCAACACAAAAAAATAAAATAAGGCCACAAATGAAGAACATTTCTAAGTAGCTCATTTGTTAGCCAAGCAATAAAAGCCATTTAACTATGCTGAGTTAATGAAATCACATTTGATTGCAGCTGTAAATCAAAGTGTCCAGAGAAAATTAACTCACTTAAGACTGTTAGCAAGCCTAGACTTACGCTTGGGAGGAAAAAGAAAAAGAAAAAGATTTCACTTTGGATCTATAGCTGCCTTGTTTGATTTTGCATAAAAAATTACTGTAAAGATTGTTAACCTTTCATTGACAACTAAGACTTTGGGAACAATATCAATAGTCAATTAAAAAACAAGGCAAATGATTGTAAGTTGTTTTCCTTGGCTTTTGATGCATAAACAGTTGTTACAGATGCTGTCAACTGTTGTTTATTTGAGAAATGAGTGGTGAGTTTGAAGCGAGTCAAGGATTAGCCTCCATGCTACAGGCAAGAATATTTTCCGAAAAATTGAGAAAACACTAATTCAATACAGGCTGAAGTGGATTCTGCTAAAATGTATTACAATTGATGGTGGTTAAAATATGTGTTGAGCAGGAAAAAATAAGGCTTAGAGCGGGGACTGGGCAGAACGCCCAGGCTACGCGTTTTCCTTGAAGACTGTAAGGAACTTGGGGTTTGAGAATGTAAAAGCAGGGACACCAAACAATCCACACTCAATTCAGCGTCAGGGTGAAAAGAATTCAGGACCAAAGGTCACGTGGCAGTTCAGAGGCTTGAGCTACCTGGGATGGACGTTGAGTGGGAGGAGAAAGAAGCATCAGGGAGGTTATGGGACTCTGCATGAACATTTCCAGCTTTTGCAAGATTCATGAATACTGCCGCGATGGTTCACTGTGGACACAGTTTTAGTTTTGCTTCCCCTCCGAGGATATGAGACACCCAGATTCTCAGCAAGCTTTCAGAGACATGTTTCTCTTGGCTAAAACAAATCCACATGTTGGCTGCTTCTGATGACCAGAAGACTTTGTCCTGGCAAAGATGAAGCTAAGAAAATGTGCTTTTTCTTCTTTGTCTCCATCTATCCCTGTCTTATCCAAGAGTCTCCACATCCTCTAGCTTTCTGGCGTCTGACTCTCCTTAAAAATTCAAATAATATACTCCTGGTGCCAAGTCAAGTAATATACCCTGGCTGCCTATCTGCTGCACTGCAGAAGGTCCAGGGCCTTCCTCAGAATTCCCACGGATCCCCAGGGCCTCACTTTATCTGGTTTCCTCTCACCACATTCCATTTGCTCCCCGAGGCATTGATGTTTACCACTGTTTCATTGCTGGGAATTGCTGTCCTCTCTCCATATGCTTCTTCCATGGGCAAACACTGTCTTGGGCAGTTATTCCCCTGAGAAAGGGGCATGATAACCAACATAGGTTAGTCACTGACATGTTTTAGGCATTGAGATAAAGTTCCTACACCATCAGGGCAGGAATGTCTCCATGACTACTTTCTCCTTTAGAACCTGAGTCTCTGTTCTGTTCTTCCAGGGCCCATTCATCCTCTTCAAGCAGCTTTTTCTGCTGTCTCCACACCTCTCCCCACCTGCAGTCAACTATAAGTTGCCCTAGTCATTTAGTAGAGCAAGTCGGCTCTGTTCATCTGGCTCTGACCTTTCACCTTTAGGGTAGAGGGCTCACTCTTCTTAACCCAAGTAGCCTATCAAGATGCTTTCCTAACAGACTTCTACTCTAAGATGATGCCTCTGGCTCCATCCCAAAATTCAGACACAACTCCAGGCATTGTTTTCGCTCTTGCTCAAATACTAGTCAGGGCCTGCTTTGAGCCACGGTGCTCACAGCGCAGCAGGATTGTCAGTTTGGTTGGAAGGAGTAGGCTGGTGCTCACACCCACAACTGCTGCAGTGGCTGGTGACTTGCTTGCATTCAATACATTTCACAAGTATGGGCCTGATATACAGATGTTCCTATGAATTCTGCTGACAACACTAAATTTTAGAAAACAGAGACATACAAGACCCTTGGAATTTAAATAAGGAAGGTACTGCCCAAGATCAAGCAGCGAATGAGAAATAGAGGGTCCTATTGCCAAAATATTCACCACCCCTTCCTGTGGGTATCACATGCCCCCTTCACTGATGCCACGGCCACCAGACTTGCTTTGGGCAGTGAAATGATGGAAATGATATGGCCTCTCCCAAGAGGAAGCTTTTTATTTTTTTTTTAATGGAGGTACTGAGGACTGAACCCAGGAACTTTTGCATGCTAAGCATGAGCTCTACCACTAAGCTGTACCCTCCCCCAAGAGGAAGCTTTGAGAGTTATTGTGTGGTGCCTCCATCTCTATTTTATTCCCCCTTTAAAGCCAATATGCCCCAGATGGGGGCTTCTGGTTCAGCCTGGGTCTCAGAATGAAGAGACGAACAGCAGAGCCACTAGTGCCCTATGACTGGCATGGATATGAGACAGAAACAAACCTTTGTTTTATAAGCCACCAAGATTTTGGCATAACTTAGCATGAGCTAATGGATGCAGTAATGTTTGATTTTGAAATTTAATTTCAGCCAGAAAAGGGAATTTCATTGGTGGGCCTTTAATTTCACCTTAGTGAAATTTATTTATACAAGGAGGTTTATATGGTTCAAATATAATGTTTTTTCTTGCTGGTAATATAACTAACACAGATGTATCATCAAATGTTTCTCACTGAGTAACCTTCTCAAGGCTAGTGGGGATGTTCTGCATACCTGGGCCATAATTCAAAGTGGCAAAAAAGTAAGTTTTCATCCTAGGATTATGGGACCCTCATTAATGTCCTATTCTGTCTTTCCTGGCAGATTGTCAGGACTTCTGCAGGCAGCAGCAGAACTGCCTCTCACTGATGGCAGTCAGTGCTGGCCACCCTTATCTGATGTCTGCCTTTCAAAGGGAGGACTCCCGGGGTTGACACAAGTTTGCCTGTTGAGTCCAATGAGCCACTGGAAAAATTGAAAGCAGGAAAATGATCCTTTCTCAGGGAAGAGTTACTAGTCAGAGAGAGCAGGTAGGACCCCATTGGGCCCTGTCTACTGGTGAGGGGAGTCTGTGCATTAGCAGCTAAAACCCAGCCATATGGTTCTCTCTTATTTTCCTTCCCGGGCATCAAGACAGTGGGTCAGAAATGAAACTCTGGAGAAGAAAATTATGGGGAACACATTTAAAGGACAAAGCATGGACCCTCAAAAAGGCAGAGAAAGGAAGGCCAGGAGGGAGGAAAGATGGCATGCAAGCTGAGGAAACAGGATTTCCAAACAAGATTTCCAGGAGTGCAGGGTCCATAGGGTCGACGACAGTGAAGGGCTCAGGGGGAAGAGATGGGAACCCTACTAAGCTTGGCCATTTGGGAGGGCAGGGCTGTCCTTTCCCAGAACCACTTTGAGGTTAGAATCAAATTACAATGGGGTGAAGAGAGAATGAGACAGTAACCCACCCACCCACCCCACTTGCTGAAGAAAGTAAAGGCAGCCGTCTTAGACCATGTTTGGAAGAGCTTGGCTGAGAAAAGTGGAGGAAAAAACTAGTGACTAGAGGTTAACCCAAGGTTGAGGGCCAATAAGGCTAAAGGATAGACATACAGTTGTCCCTCGTCCCTTGGTATCTGTGGGGATTGGTTCCACACTCTGTGGATGCCCAAATCTGCAGATGCTCAAGCCCCTTACGTAAAATGGTGTACATAGTATCTGCACATAACCTACACACATCCTCCTGCACACTTTAAAGCATCTGTAGATTACAGTACCTAATACAATGTAACTACTACATAAATAGCTGGCAGCACACTGCAAATTCAAGTTCTGCTTTCTGGAACTTTCTGGAGTTTTTTCCAAATATTTTCCACCCTTGGTTGTTCGAATTTACGGATGTGGAACCCATGGATATGGAGGGCCCATTGTATTCCACGTTTTCCTATAATGTCTATATTCGTACACTTACTGCATCTGATGCTATTTACTTAAAATGCCAAATACTCATAAATTTTCTTGATCGCCACTTTCTTCCACTGATCCTTGATTCCTATATCTTTTCCCTCCCCCTGTCTTAGAAACACACACACACTCTCTCTCTCTCTCTCTAATACAAGTATGTATGTGAATGACCAACCAGATGCCTTTGGGGAAAATAGTTACTTGGTCTGTCCTTAGATTCTAGACCATCAGGCATTGTCCACAAATCTTCAAAAAAGACTGGGGGGTAGGACCTGGAAAACAGGGAAGGAAAGGTCCCACTGGGTAGGTATTTGGTCAGACACATAATTTCAGTATGAAATTCTAGAAAAAATGAATGACACTTTATAGGGTATGAAAACCAACAGCATTTCTAATTTTATTTCTTGCTAAGTTGACAGCAGGGAATTGTGAAAACTGATGAGCTTGGCGAACTCCGCCCTCAGGAAGGGAGAGGAAGTGCAGCACACCTGGAACCAGGGCTGCGAGCAACCAGGGGCTGAGGCTTCTGGGGAGGCGGGCGGCTTTTTGGGTTTTACCTCCTCAGGAAGGCGCAGGCTTCCAGAAGCGCTGTAGGGCACAACAAAGCAGGACATTCAGAGACTGATTTTTTTTTTTGTGAATCAATACATCAATCAAAAAAATACATCAATCAAGGAGGACACAAAAACAGACTTTCCTCTGCCCTTGTCCCACCGCTGTAAGTCAATGCTTGTCATCCGCATATTACTCCACAGCCTCTCCTCCCAAGAGCCACAGAGCCCAAGGGAGCACGTGGCAGCCCTGGTCCTCACCACGCTGGGAGATTCCCTGCTCTAGCCTGAGTAACACCATCCACACCTCATTTGTCTCCCATTGAATCAGCTCACATTCTAAGTTCACAAGGCATTGCTGTCCCTCGAATTTCTTCTGGAATGTGAGCAATTGATCAGCTTCATGCAAATCTGTTTGCAATGGTGTCCACCTATGCATTAGTCCACAAACCCTTCCTGAGCATCTGCTTTGTGTGTCCCTGAGCTCAGAGTTGGGGAGTCAGCAGGGAAGATAAGCGCCACCCTCAGTGGCTGCATCGTCATGCAGTCCGGTGCCGGATGCTCGCAGAACAGCCCTGCTGCGGGGTCTCTAAGTGTGGTCCTAGACCCGCCTGTGTCACAGTTCCCTGAGACAGAGCAGGGTTTCTCAGACTTGGCACTGCTGACATTTGAGGCTGGGTAATTCTCTGTTCTGAGGCATGTTCTCTGCTTTGTTTAGTAGCATCCCTGCTTCTACCCGCAGATGCCAGCAGCATGCCCTAAATCGTGAGAATTAAAAATACCTCCCGGCATTGCCAAATGCCTCAGGGGCAAAATTACCCCTGATTGAGAACCCCTGATACAGAGATTCTCAGCCCTGCCCCACGCCCGGACCACCACACAACCCCTACCAATGCCTCCAACTTCCCAGGTGAGGGACCAGGAATAGGGATCTGGGTGACCCCGGGGCACAGAGGAGGCAGCACTTGCTGAAATTTGAGAATCAACGTCTGGACCTTACAACACTCTGCTATGTCTTCTAAATGTTTTTAAAGGATTAAATTATTGTCCATATGTTTTCCTGGCCAAAATGTTTTTTGAGAATGTGTATTCTGTATAGTTAGCACTTATGGTAACTGTCTAGAAACCAGAACTTGTCATTTCTCAATATGTATGTATATGTATATATACATAGGTGTGTATGTATGTACATACACACATTTACAATCAGATCAGTATTATAAAAATTTAGCATACTATCAACTGCTTTATTTTCCTCTCTAATTCTTTCACCTCATCAATGAGAGTGTAATTTCCTGAGATATGGAGACATTGTGCTGTCTTAACGTTTTTATACCCACTTCATCCCCAGAATGTTTGGCCCTCCACCCTTGACCTTCACCCGTGGTGGTGTCTCATTGATGCTGCCTATGTTCCACTTACGGGAGGTGGAGCATCGTCTCAGCTTAGCAATGGCTGTGACATACTGTGGTCCCAAATACTCTTCATACGTTGTTTTGCCTTGGAGTTTGGCCAGACACTCAGTGTTGTCATTGAACAGAAGGTTTTTGGTTTTGGACTGGAACAAGCAAAACTTGCCTGGGCAGTCTTGTCCATTTCTTCCAAAATGAGCCTGTGTCAAAAAGGGCAGCTAATGAGAGAGCAGCTGAGAAGAACAGGAGAGTCAATGGATTTGGGGAGGCCAAGGACATTTCTTCCATGCAGGATCAGCCCCAGGAAAACCATGGGGCAAAATGAGCGGAGTCCTGGAGTTGTTCCACTGCTCTGGCCGAGTCTCCCCCTGCCCCCTGCCCCTAGCCCAGTGCCCAGGCTCCTCACCACTTCTCAGTTCACCTCCTGCCATCTTGCCTTTCTTCTCAATCTGTGGCTTTTTTCTTAGAACTTCTTATGGATGACTATGTGACTGCTGAGGATTTTGAGATCCACCCCAAAAGTTTATCACCTCTAGCATCCTAACAGGTCAGCTCTCCAGAGAGGCACTCTGCACTGGAAATCATCTCTGCAACTGGCCATTGCCTTGGACAAGTCACTTAACCTCCCTTGGCCATGGTTCCTCCTTCACGCCCAGGGCTCCCACAGAGGTGAGCTGTAAGAACCAAACATCTCCATTCTGGCACCAGTGAGTGTGCCATCGTGGGGCTCCATGAATCTAGTTATTGTGCCCATTGTTACATTCTAGGGCCACTGTCTTTAAAGCACATCTAGAAACATGTACCTTTTTTTTTTAATTGAAGTATAGTCAGTTTGCAATGTTGTGTTAACTTCTGGTGTATGTCACAGTGATTCAGTTGTACATAGATGTATATCCCTTTTCATATTCTTTTTCACTATAGGCTATTACAAGGTATTGAATATAGTATATGCTATATTCACCCTATGCTATACAGCAGGACTTGTCGTTCGTCTGTATTATATATAGTACTGTGTATCTGCAAATCTCGAATTCCCAATTTCTCCCTCCACTCTCCACTTTCCCTCCAGGAACCGTAAGTTTGTTTTCTATATCTGTGAGTCTGTTTCTGAAAAAACATGCCATTTTAATACAAAACTAGATATTCTAATAAAGAATCCCAGACTTTAAGGAAATTATAGGATTTCCTTCAAACCATTTCACATAGATAGCCTTAAATCAATAGACGTTCTGGGTTTGCTATTTTTAAAGATTACAAATGCAGGGACCTTGTCTAAAACATTGCCCAGTCGGCCCAGACTCCAGAGTAAACCACTCTCTACCTAGTTGGGGCAGGAAGGCTCAGACACCTTCCTCATTTGCCTGAAGAACAACAGGAGGGACAAGGACAGAAGGCATCTCCCAGCCAGGTGGTGAGCACAAGCCCAGGGGCCTGAGACTCAGCAAATACTCCCACCACCAGCTTCAAGCAGAGGGACTTGAAAGGAAGACTTGAGATGGGCTGAATCCCCCAGCTCTATGACCGCCCCACCTAACAGGAGCCCATGCAGGTAAGAAAGGGCAGGAGGCCCTGCTGACTCATACCTGTTGGTGGAGCAGCACCTGTTCCAGGTGTGCTACCTTATCAGTCCGAGATACCACAGCATGATTTGGGGCCATGGCCAGGTGGCAGCTCTCAGCCTCAGTCACAGGCTTCCTGGTACCATTGAGGCACAGCAGCTCAAAGTCTCCCAGCTTCAAATCCTTAGCCCACTGCTCAGTGTTCTTTCCTGGGGAGAGAGAGAAGGCAGCATCAGCCAGGGCTGTCTGGTGTAGTCAACGCATCCTTTCTGGGTGGGTGTGACCATCCTGAGACGTACACACTGGGATTGCAGTGATGTGAAGAAGAGCAAATGAAGTTTCACAAGTTATATAGACTTCAAACATATCAAACATGAGTGCTGTAGCCTCATGATGGAATATTACTCAGCAATAAAAAGAAGTAAAGGACTAACATGCGCTCCAACATGGATGAATCTTGAAAACAGGGAGCTAAGTGAAGGATGCCAATCACAAAAGACCACACACATATCATAGGATTCCATTTATGTGAAATGTCCAGAATGGGCAAATCTACGGAGACAGAAAGTGGATTGCTGGTGGCCAGCTCTGGGGGAGTGGGGAAGGGACTGTTATTAGGTGCAGAGTTTCCTTAGTGGGTTATTATTATTTCTTTAGGATTGTTCTAGAATTGGATTATGTTGCCAGCTGCACAACTCTGAGAGTGCGCTGGAGACCACTGAACTGTACACTCTGAGTGGATGGATTTTATAGTATGTAATTTGTATCTCCATAAAGCTGTTAAATTTCTTTAAAAGAAAACCCTCATCAAATAAATAAGAAAAAAGAAAACCCTTCATGTATGCCGTATTTTCCAGTGAGTTCCAGAAAAAGAAGTGCTGGTTTGTGTTCAAGAAGAGATTGTTTCCTTTCATATTCAAATGCTATTACTGCAACCAGAGGAAGGATAGGAACTTCTATAGGTTTACCAAAAATGTTTAAGTCAATTCCAATAACATGCAGTTGTAAAATCCCAGAGAACCTTAAAATTAAATTTGACATCCATCTGATCCCTAGGTTCACAGTTCCTAAATTTGAAATGTAATTGTATGCACGCATGCCTGTGTGTGTGCAAACACATAGTCACTGTTTCTCCCCTTCTGCCCTGTCCCCTCAACAAAACACTTCGGCCATTCTCTTGGTTTTGTCTATTTGATATTGAGATCATCCCAAAGTTACATGTCTGCCCTCAATAGTTCTCCCCAAAGACTTGAGGAGGGGCAGGAGGAGGAGGGAGGATCTGTAGGATTGTCACCGTCATTGAAGGAGGAAGGCAGAAAGTTGAGGCAGTTCCTTCTCAGGGGAGGAAGTGGCAAGTCCTCTGTGAGGGGCGGGAGGAAGCTAAGTAGGGGCTAAGGAGAGATGTGCAGCTTGGAAGGTGGCAAATCGCTAGGAGTCTTGAATTTGGTAATTACTATTTTCACTAGAGAGCAGAAGAGAGAGTGATTACTCATGCACTGGCTGGTAGGTTTTACCTTCTGTCGTCTGCATCTACCTGTGATGTTGTCCTTATTAAATCCCCAAGGAGTTTCCAACTGAGGGCTCCCATGGGCTGAATGACAGCTACTACTTCCTTAATTAAAAAGAGGAATTTTACTTGCATACGTTCATTTTTTTAAAAGTATCATTCACATTCAGTTTTCAATAGGCTGAGACAGGCAGGTGGTGCTTCCGTGGCTGACTAGAAAAAGCCAGGGAGATGTATTTGCTCCTGAGTATGTCTTGGGGGTGTGTATGTGTGTTTGAGAAAAAGAGATAGAATTCTGTTTCAAAATCCATGTGACATCCTACATTCTAAGTGAAGTAAGCCAGAAAGAGAAACAAAAATACCATATGAGATCGCTCATATGTGAGATCTAAAAAAAAAAAAAAAAAAGAACATAAATACAAAACGGAAACAGACTCATAGACATAGAATACAAACTTGTGGTTGCCAAGGGGGAGGGGGGTGGTAAAGGATAGACTGGGAGTTCAAAATTTGTAGATACTGACAGGCATATATAGAATAGATAAACAAGATTATTATACTGTATAGCACAGGGAAATATATACAAGATCTTGTGGTAGCTCACAGTGAAAAAAAATGTGACAATGAATATATGTATGTTCATGTATAACTGAAAAATTGTGCTCTACACTGGAATTTGACACAACATTGTAAACTGACTATAACTCAATAAAAAAAAGTTTAAAAAAATCCATATGACATCCTATAGATGTTACTATGTTGCATACTGAGGTAAAGTATTTTGGAAATAATTTGATCCAAGTCTGGAAAAGGTTACAATCGCTTGCCGATTGCAAATCTGAATAGAAGGCTATGTTGTCATGGCAGAGACTCTGCTTCGAGGGGAAAAGGGAACAGCTTCACCTACCATCCGTGTTGTCTAAGACGGTGACATCTTTCACAAACGCAACGTCCCCAACATTCTCAGCCAGGCACCTAAAATGTTCCAGAGAATAAAAACAATGCCAGAGAAGAAAAACTATTTTGAGTTTTCATAAATATTTGTAAGACACATTCCAAAAACTGAAACATGGAAGTAAACAAAGAAAAGATGAAGACAAATATTTCCAAGAACTTTCAGAGTTTAAATGGTAGATTGAACACATATGCGAACCTTCCCTCCTTCTAATAGTCCAATAAAATGACACAAATGAGATTTTTTAAAGATCCATAAATCCACGAGAGAGAGGAAGGGAAGAGGGAAGAGAGAAGATAATAATGACAATGTTTGGAAGTTAGAGATCAAATGGGCGAGCAGTAATTGACCCGTCAGAGCAAAGAAAGCTGTGACGTAAGCTGGAAGTTGGGGGGCGCTCAGGAGAAAGCTGACATGCACAGCAGAACTGCACAAAGACTCAATGATTAGAAGTACTAGGCACCATCGAAAGTGGCTGAGAACAGGAGGCCTGGGTAGAGCCTATATACATGCTATGTATATACACACGCCCTCCTATCCCGTGCTGCCGGGAGATTGCTGGCCCCTCCTCCTGGCAGAAATCAGGTTTGTTCACAGGGAGGTTGAATCTGAACACTAAGGACTAGAAAATCAAACCCAGCTTCAGGTGCAACATTCCCAGGTAAATGATCAGCCTGAGGCAGCATCCAGTTTGTTCATGCATGGATTATTGTTACTTACAGAACGTTTTGAGATGAATGAGTGATTTTTTTTTGAAGTACAGAAAACTCAGCAAATTTTTAAAAGACACCTATCAACTCCAGAGGAAACAAAATCTTTGTACAATAGGGGAAATATAATCTTATTATATCACATATTTGATATGAGACTGATATTTACATATTTGTAATAAAGTAAGCACTGAATATGTCATACTCTTGTAGGAGGTTCCAAGGAGGTGAAGTTGATGCTTACAGGTGGATGGGGCACAGGAGCAATGTGAGAGGTTAGATCCTCTTTTTTCATAAGAGAAAGTCAGCAGAAAATAGCTTAAAAATTAAGAACTGGCAGTCTATAAGGATGTTAGTTAGCAACACAGAGGTAAACAGAACTTCTGGTTCCAGCTTTTGATTTGAACAAAGCATTTCCTTCTAGTATAAATAGGAACACCAAAGTGTAGGAGTTTCCAGTGAAATAGCGCCTTATCATAGGTTTGAAACACCCACATAATTCCTGTGAAATTTTTATCAGACATGTCGTCTCTTCAATATTTCTGAGTGGAATCACATCACAACCTTTCCATTTGCAAAACTTTAGCCCCTTAAAGATATTTTTAAAATTTTGTTTAGCTTAAAGATATTTTTGAACAGCCACAAAATATTTTTTCAGTGAGTCACTCAGAGTATATTAAAAGGATACTTTTATTTCCTTCATCACTGGAGAGAAGGCTACTGAATTTACATTAAAAAGTTCAGACCAAAAAAAATATATATATGAAAAAAAAAAAAAAAGACCAGTTTGGGCATTGTCATTCTCAGATACATGACACCACCTTGTGGTGAAATATATTCTTGGAGAACAGAGGAAGATGAATAAGGGAGATCTGCCCTTCAAACCCCTAACTGGACCACTGAGAAGTAACAGCTGGATGAACGGGATTGTAAAACAAGGATTGTGGAAAGAAACTGTGATTCTCTAAACGTTTATAATTGGTGAATTCTGAAAACTTATTTTTTGTTTTATTTTTCACTTTACTGGTGGGGAATAACACTGCAATACTGCTTTCTCTTTGCCATTTCTAAGGCCAGAATCAAAAAGAAAGTGAAACATGAGACATAAGCATTACCCAGATTGTGGAAAAAGTGGTGGCCCCAGGAAAGAGAATTCTTCCCCATAAAACTGAATTGCAGAAAGGACTTAAGATACCACAAACTCTCCCCACTTGATTCTGACGATGAGGACATTGAGGCTCACTGAGGCTGAACTGGGCTCCAGGCCACAGGCAGGAGCCCAGCAGAGCTGAGGTCAGACAGCCCCCATGCCAGCCCTCACTCTTGGGGTGCTGAGTGCAGTGGGAGGAGTCCTCCCTGGCACCGCCCATCAGCTGATCCCCAAGCTGCCCCCTGGCTCTGCTGTGATGAGCCATATTGGGCCCCTTAGAAATGCAGCACCGAGATGCTGGAGGATGAGGGACAAGGCCTGTCTGGTGAAGCCTGCACAGCACTCACCTGAAAGCCCCAGTGTAGCCATAGTATCTCTCGCTGCTGTTGGGCACACACTTGTTCTGGCCCGCCTCGTTGCCTGCACACAGAGCACAGAGCTTGGATCTCGGGTCAGACCCAGGGGCACAGCTTTGACTGAAGAATTCATCTGCAGAGAAGAAACACGGGAAGTCAGCTCTTCCTACCTGACTCAAGGGAAGCAGTCTTTCCCTAACAGATGATGTGGCTTGGTTTCCGTGCATCCTATTGCCCAAGACAGATAGAACAGTCACTATCACATGTAGTAACATGTTACCAACAATGAGGGACCCACCAGAAATCAGAAAAACTTTAGACTGCAGGCATCGACAGGAAACCCAAGTAAGGTGAGAGAAGAGAGTCTGTGACAGCACAAAGGGTCCCACCCTCACAGCTCAAGCTGGGGACTCAACTGATGAACGTGACAGCCAT